TGGTTCGAGGTCTCAGCTCATACTTAGGAGGATTTAAACACATTTTTTATAGCTTTGGAGCCTTAAAAATCTTTTTAGACCTCTTGTTTTTGTGTAAATGTTATTTTATACATTGATCAATAAATTTCAAATTTAATAAAAAAACATTGTAATAAGAAGAAAAAACATCGAGGATAACTCCAACCATAACACTAACTTTGTTGTTGAAATTAAACCAAATTTGTTGTTTTGGAGTCAAATTTTTTTTGTCATCTCCAATCATGGCACCAAATATTTAAAAAATAATAATATATATTATTCATATTTTAAGCTTTGAATAATTTCATATTTTTTAGTATTTGTAATTGATAAATAATTATTTTATCACATAAATATTATGTATGTTAATTTTTTGTAACTTATATTTACAAAATTTATTTTCATTTATATATTTATATAAAATGTTAATTATATTCAAAATTATTTTAAAAATTAATTATATATTAGTTATTGAATTAAAGTTTTGGGATATTTTGATTTTGAAAAATATATAAAGTAAATAATAATAGTCATTTAGTGATTTCTTACTTGAAAATAAAATTAAAATATTGTAATTGTGTAAAATAACTTAAAATATATAAAAAAATATAATATATTTATGTTTAGTTACAAATTTGAATTAATTAATAATAATAGTTGAAATATATTATTAAAATAAATATAATAAAATATGTATATAAATATTTGTTCTGATGAATAGTGTTACACCAAATTTGATGTAACACTTTTTATTCTATACTAAATTTAATAGGATGATGTCACTTTTAGTATTTCATTAAAAATGAAATTACACAAATTTGATATTTTGATATCTCATTAGAATCGGCATGGGTAGGCTGGGGTGGGCACTTTATCCGATACCCGAACTCGTACCCGAACCCGACCCGAAATATCCGAACCGAAATCTGAACCGAAGTAGCAAAATACCCGAACGGGTATTGAGTTAGGAGAGTTTGGATATCCGAACCCAAACGGGTAATACCCGAACCCGAACGGATATCCGAAGATAACCGAACATATGTATATATACCTATTTATTCCTAGTTTATTTGTTTCATTTTATTAAAACTATTTATATTAATGTTATAAATAGTTTAATATCAGATAATATACATATAATTGTAAAAAAAAAGTGATTTGTTACTTATTTAAAATACATATTAAGCTTCTTATTTCATACTTTAAACAAAATTTGCATCCAAAATTCGAAAATAACAACCAAATTAATGATTTTTATTTTCAATAATTTATTTTCAAACTTATTAATTGTCTAACTTATTGAACATTTTAAAAATAGTTAAGTTAATAGTTAAATTTTAAATTCATAAAACTTAAGTAATAAAGAATTTGAAATTTTTCTTCCAAAATCTAAATATCCGAACCCGACCCGAAATAACCGAACCCGAACTAAAAATATCCGAACCCGACCCGATATGTAAAAATACCCGAACGGGTTCTAAACCCTAATACCGAAATACCCGATCCGAACCCGAACGGGTACCCGAACGCCCACCCCTAGGTAGGCATGTGCATTTTACCTGGACCCGAAGACCCGAACCGGAACCGACCCGAAAATATCCGACCCAAACCCGACCCGAAAATTTATAAGTACCTATTGAGTCTAAATTTCTTTTACCCAAATAGACCCGGACCCGAAAAGAACTGACCCGAATAGACCTGGACCCGAAAAGAACCGACCCGTATAGACCCGACCCGATAAGAACCGATTTGTACCCGACTTATAAACATGTATATCCAAAACTATTATTTTGTGTTATGTTTTATATATCTATACTATTTTATAATTTAGTTAAAATATCTTTTGTTAACAATATTTATTATTTGTAACATATTGAAGTAATATAAAGTTTTTAAATGTAAAATTTAGAGTTTAAAAATGTTTTCTTTAATTATTAATAGATTAATTTAAGTTATTTTATAAAATTTTAGGTATATATGAAAAATATTGACTGAATTTGAGTGACTTTAGGCATGTTATTATAAATACCCGGACCCGATCCGGACCCGATATGGATCCGAAAATTACGGGTATTTTACAGGTATTGAAATTATAGACATGAACCGACCCGGACCCGGCAAGACCCGACCCGGAACCGATCCGAAAAATCATAGGTATACATATGGGTCTAAATTTTCAAGACCCGAAAGACCCGGACCTGACATGACCCGACCCGAATCCGAGGCGAGGACCCGAATGCCCAGGCCTAGGCATGGGGTGTTGAGGAAGTAGAGCCAGTCCAAAAGACCAAGTGATACAGGTCATCGTTTAACACATAGAATAAGAGAGGGTATAATATGTTTAGTTATATGAACAATAATAATAGAATATTCATATATTATTTGATTATACAATTATTTTTACGAATATTAGAATATAAATTTTGTTGACATACAGTAGAAAAACTATGTATTTATAGTCGATACATTAATAAACACTATAAATTAATAAATTTATCACTTTCAAGTTAGACCAGTTTAAAATATGACACAAATTGATAAAATAATAAGATAATATTTTTTCAGAAAATCATATATAAATTTATGATCCCATTACAATTATAAATTTAATAATTTATATGTATATATATATATATATCTTATATAATAAAAATAAAACCTTCAATCATTTATTTTCTATTCAAAATGGAACTATTTTTATATTTTCGTACCATTTAATATATTTTGATGAGATTTAGTAAGAATATATCTAAAACCATACTTAAATTATGTGAAACATGTTTATATATACTAAATAATATAATAAACCAATATAAAGAATTAATTTTATTTTGAAAAATAATTAATGTATATACCCTAAAATAAATATATATTTTAGAAAAATTATATTTTAAAATAGAAAATCTAAAAATAAATGTAAATTAATAATTACTATAGTCCCAAAGTTATAGTTTTTACTGTATAAACATTAATAAAATTTTCAAAAAATAAAATTAAAATTTATATAAAATAGAAATTTTAAATCTGAAAATTTTCATTTAACCATTGATTTTAATAAATTAGGATTGCTTGTCAAAATGTTGGTGATAATACTAATAAATATAAGATATTATGAAAAAGTATATAATTATGGTTGCACGTCAGATTAATTATTATTTTTTAAATACAAAAAATAGACAAATGAAAAGGTTGAACGTCAGATTAAATGTTCATCATATCTCTCTCTCCAACTTTTACAATTTTTAATATTTTAGTAATGATGTGAAACTGGTTTAGAAACCAGCGTTAAGGTTGCCGTAAGTAGTTATGGGCATTTGAGGTCCCAATCATGTTTCGGTTTTATCCAATCGGATATCAGTTTTTCGGTGTATCAAAATCAGCCACATTATGATTATTTAAAAGTTTGGTTTGGGACCGGTTCGGGTTCTATCGGATTCGGGTCGGGGTTAGTAAATCTTGAAAGAACATGTACAATCCGTTGTACTTTCGAGTTCGGGTCCCAATCGGTTCTTCGGTTTAAAGATATATGTTTTGAACCTACTTTGTAACCAAAACATAAGTAAAATCGATTTTTCGAATACAAAGTACCTGATTTGTAACTTTTTTGTAACCAAAACATAAGTAAAATTGATTCAAAAATAAGAAAGAAACATCAAATACGATTTTTAAAATCAAACGAAAGATAAACATAATTATTGATAGAAAGAAAACCAAATAAATGAAAATATAAAAGTAAAATCAAGTTCTTAAAAAATGAGAAACATTATCAAATAAAAACAAAACCTAAATTTGAAAATTTCAAGGTTTAACCGCCACATTCAACCATCAACTTTAATATAACAGAAAATTATTCTAGATATTCTCTAATATCGTAAAGTATTTTGGATACATATTAGGAATTGAGATAATGTTTAGTACATGTTCTTTTTGGGAATTTTGAATATTTCGGGTTCTATCGAATATCCATTTAGTTTTGAGTTCGATTCGGATAATGCCCATAACCCAAAATACCATAACACAAGATCTGTTCAGTATTTATATCGAGTTCGGATCGGTGCGGATTCATTTTTATTGGATCGGGTTCGGTTTGGATTTTTGAGTTTGATTTATTTGCCCAGCCGTGAATGTAAGACTCAAAAATAGGTGTGATTGTATTAGGTCAAACATATGTTAAGACATCATATGTCCTATGCTGTTGGGACATTGGAATAATAACTTAGGGCACGAGTGATATGATGATACTGACGAATAACCCTTCCTATTACCCTTGATGCAAAGATTATTAGTGTATCTCCAATTCTATTTCATTTTCCAATTCAAAATGAAGTTTGAAGTAAGATCTTGAATTGCTCATTTTGATGATAAAAAATAGACTAAACTCATTTTCATGTTATTGCAGATTGTAACACACTGAGGATGTAAGGGCTTCTGCCATGTTCCAGGATTTAACGAAGATTATAGATGAAGAAAACACACAGGAAGTCTTCATTGGAACAAGTCTTCGATTAGTATAGGGTTCCTTCTTCAGCACGTCAAATGTTGGTGATCAAATTTCCGAGTGTTGGGCCAAAGTTGGGCTCATAGGCCATAGTTTGATTCGTTTTCCTTTTCATACACGAAATCAACTTTTTTTGTTTCTTTTCTTTGATTCAGACTATGTTCTTCAGATTACAATTCTTCAAGAGCTGGATTGCTGGAAAGCTAAAACTGTTCTTCGTCTGGAACCATATACTTCGTACAAAAAAAGAGAATTAAGGTAATCTGTAATTTCATTACTTAATCTTTAGCAAGTTTCTTTCCGCTGATAGATATTTTTTTTTCTTACAATCAATTTGTTGAATTCCGTTGTTTTGAACACTGGTTTTGTTTTTTTATGTAAGAAATTTGATTCCTTTTCCCGGTTGATGTAAGAAATTTTATAGTGCACGAAACCTGTTCGACAAAAATCCTGAACGAATATATTTGGTTTGTAGAGTGTTTACATGGCAAATACTTTGGGTGACGACAAGATCCTCAGCTACAACGATGTTGTCCTCAGGAGATCCGATTTAGACATCCTAAACGAACCCAATTTCTTAAACGATCGCATCATCGAGTTCTACCTAAGCTACTTATCCACACTCCACACTTCCCCTACCATCTCCCTCATCCCTCCCTCCATTGCCTTCTAGATCTCAAACTGCCCCGACACTGACTCACTCAAAGACTTCATGAAACCTCTCAGATTACACGACAGCGACCTCGTGATATTACCCATAAACGACAACCTCAATGTCGAGCTAGCAGAAGGCGGGTTACACTGGAGCTTACTCGTTTACTACAAAGAAGCCAACTCGTTTTTCCATCACGATAGCTTTATAGGATCGAATAAATGGAGTGCGAAGCAGCTCTACAAGGCGGTTTCTCCATTTGTGTCTGATGGAGATGCGACGTATAGAGAGTGCAGTGATACACCGCAGCAGAAGGATGGGTATGATTGTGGTGTGTACCTTCTTGCGACTGCTCAAGTTATTTGTAAATGGTTTAGCTCTGGAGGAGTGAAGAACCGGGATGAGCTGTGGTTAAGTGATGTGAAGGAGACTGTACCGGATGTGGTTAACAATTTGAGGGAGGAGATATTGGGGATGATCAAAAGGTTGATGTCTGAGAAGAGTGCAGTGAGTAAATGAGAGATGGTTGTTGAATGATTTTAACTGTGTACCGGATCTAGTACATATGATATATTCATCGGTTATTGCTACTTTAAACGATAACGAGAGCTGGGTGAATGTGTTTTCGTAAATAAATAGAAAAAAAAAGAATTATCAAGAAGTTTAACGAAAATAAATTAATAGAAAATATAATTCCTACGATTTAATATGTTTAGGCCCATTGGTTTGGTCACTTTAGGCCCACTTCTATTTAGTGTGATAGTTGTTACAGGCCCACAGTTGAAAACGAAACATCTGATACAATCCATCACGCGGACCAGTGATGCGTCTACGTCACCACGCCACATCAAATATTTTTAAATGAAAAAATCCTATAAAAGAAAGTAATCAAATGAAAAATCATCTGTAAATGATGGGAATATGGGATTGCTTTTATCTTGTAAAAAAACGTAATTTTTTTTTGAAATTTTATGCTGTTCTGAGTATTTTCAAGCAGAGCATGACCTCATAAGTTATAGTGAACTGAATTTTTGTAATGATGAACTGAAAGCATATCGTATAAATTTACTTTTCAAAAAACGAGATAGATATAGATGAAATGAAACTTTCTAAGAAAAGAACACAAAGAAGAATCATAAGTTTTGAGTAGTAAGAGCACATTAAATATAATACATCTATTATATTAAAAGAGAAGTCATGACTCATTTCATGTGTGATTTTTCTTTATTTGGACCACTAGCACAAAAAATTTATTAAATATATTTCATTTCTTTGTAACCACTTGAATCATAATATCTTTTGATATCTTTTTATTTTAAATATAAGTATGTATTAACTCTTTTTAAAAAATCTGTTGAAAAGATTTTAGCAAGATCTTAACTTTAAAACATTATATAAATATTTCACTAATTAATAACTTGAACATAATTTCAAATTAGTAATGAAAATAATTATACATTAATATATATATATATATATATATATATGAAAACAAATTTTATTCTTTTTATCTTTTAATAATCATAAACTATCAAATTAAATGAAATTATTATAATAAAGTGAATGTTATAAAATTATACTAAATTGATAAGTTAATCAATTTTATTTTCAGAAATAGAAAATATTAATGTTAAAAATATATAATATATTGACATAAAGGATTAACATTAGTAACTATAAATACATGTATAAAATTAACATATCTTAAACTCTTATAATATCATATTATCTTTATAAACATAAAAAAATTTCTAAACGGTAATCTAACTTTAAAACTCGGATAATAATTTAGTATAAATTAAATATAAAATAATTTTCAAATATGATTTTTTATGCATATATTAATATTAATAATTAAATATAAATCCAATTAGATAAATATATAATAAGAAACTATTGAAACAATTGATATTAACATACAAGCTATAAAATTATTGTGTTTGTAATAGTTATATAAACATTTAAACATATGACTAACGTTATTAATGATATAAAACATATATATATATATATATATATATATATATATATATATATATATATATATGAAAACAAAACCCGTGCGGTTGCGCGGGTCAAAATCTAGTTCAAAACTTAATGAATAAACAAAAAGATTACAGATCGTGAAAACGAATCCGTTTCCTAAAATCTAGAGCAATTTTCACTAAAGTGGAAACAAAAAAACAAAAGAAAGCTCCGGGGATTTATTAAATAAAAAAAACAGGACAAGAGCTAAAAAAAGCTGCATGGGAATCTACGCTTTGATGCCTTGCTTGAAGATCGAGGCAAGAATATATGCGGGTCCCTTTGGAAATTGCGCCTAAAATCTCTAACCCGATCTTAAAATCTTCTTTTCTGTTTGTTTATACATGTCCCTTGGTTAGTGTTCTCAATATCAGAGGACTATATTATAAAATAAAATCATGCATGCTTCATTTGTAGAAAACAAAACTTATAGATGATGTACAAAACAATTTTTTTATCATTATTCTTAAAGAAATGGAATCATTATCATGGAACATATATGTATCATACGAATATTTTCGACATTATTTTTTATATACAACCAAACTAGAGCAGAATGAAGGAAATTTGGTTATATTTTTCTTTTGTCAGAGATTATTGGAAAATAGATAGATTTTGCTATAATTTTTAGTAAAAAGTGAAAAGAAAAAAAGAGAGTGGGAGTTGAAACACTGACTGTGAGAGAGACACCACATGCAAAACCAATCAGGCTGCTGCAACCACTTGCGCTCACTTATCATTCTATCTTTCCTCGATTTCCTCCATTTATTCCTTTGTCATGCCGCCACGTGTAGTCCAGTTACCCAACATTGTGGTCCCACTTACACCGCCGGCCAATCACTCTGTTTGTTGCCCCCTCTGAAGTTTCTAGGTTTTCTTCTTATTAGGGTTTTTATTTGCGTCATTGTCACTAATTTGGATCCGTGGGGCGTGGACGTAGTTCAGCAACCCTATACTAATTAGATTTGAAGTATCCCCAAGTATATATATTTTAAAAACATTTTTAGTCCATTTACAAATGTGGGTTAAATTATGACTTATTGAAATTTTTGTTCCAGTTACACAAAATTATTTTTGTAAATGAGACAAAAAAAACTACACAAATTAGGTTTAGATAAACAAAATTAAGTTGAGAGAGGGTTAGGATTTTTTTCAATTCCTAAATTTTGTGAATCCAAATTTAGTTATTCAAACAGAAATCTTAGTCCCTTCTTGTTTATAGCTTTAGTGCAAAATAGACATCAACATTGAGATGGACAAACTTGATGCAATCGTTGATTTAATAAAAAAAAGTAATAAAGTTTGGTACTGCATCAAATTGCTTAGACCATCAATCACACACCAGCTGTACGCATATTCACTTAGCCAAACCAAAATTGTTTGATCAAATCTGCGAACAAGAACTAATATATACCAAACTTAATTTATGCACTCAGTCATTAGGTCGAATAGGAGTAGCAAAAAATAAGTGATATATCTGTATAAGGGTAGAATCATTAGTATGAATTGAAGTAACGATCACTCTATAAAGTATGATAAATGAGGATGTCAAAAAAAAAAAAAAAAAGGTATGATAAATGAGTAGTACATTATGTCAAGATAGATTTCAATATTATGATTCATATAGTTGAGAGCTCTCTTATCAATATATAAGATCCGCTTAAATTATTTTTATTCCCCAAGAAATTCTGGTTTTGTCACTTCTACTAAAACTCTAAAGCGAGAAAATATAACAATTTTGACTGGTCAACCCAAAACATGTATGTTTATTTTCCTATTTTATTTTCCGGTTGTCCCACCACTTCCGATTAATGTATATACATAGTGTAATGTTCTCATATTCCTTATTGCTAATGTTGAATGGAAGATTCATGTTATGTCACTCTCATCCCTGTTTCTTGACCTCCACATGTTTTGATCTGTATAAACTGAGTTTATATATTAGTCTGATATACCAATAACATCATCATCTTTATCTTTTGAACCTGCAGAAGAACTTGTATGAAATCTAATGATCCAAATTCGATTACTTTGATCGCAAATATGAGGAGGATTTAGTTGGATTTTTAAAGAAATGTGAAAGACCAAAAGTATATATGAGTTGTGATCCAGATGACTTAAAACTGATACTCCCTCCATTTCATTTTTGTTGTTGTTGTATAGTAAAATTTTTGTTTTAAAATAAATGTCGTTTAATTTTAATACAAAATTTATTAATTTTATCTATTATTTTATTTTTTTATTGGTTGAACTATGGTTAAATATATATGTGATTATGTTTTTTCTAAAAAAATATGTAAAATTAAATATTTCTTTAATATGTGTGTAAAAACTCAAAATGACAATTAAATTGAAATGAAATGAGTATGATATATAACATATACAAATAAATAAATGGAAACTGATAAACGAATCAATTAGGTGCCTCGACTGTTCGTGCTATAATGATCTTATATCAATTAAATTTGAATTATAAAATTTAAAGAAGGTCATTATTATCTTGATAAAACCTGGGAGCCACAGGTAGGTAGGGTCCAAAAGGAAACATAATGATCATCTGTTATATTTGGAGACCAATGATTGTTTGTGATGAATCACTAATTTCCTGGCGGAAAACTACATGTTAATATCAGGTTAAGAACAAAATAATTATTTTTCATCATATCAAAAATAAAATGAAAGAAGTATGCTTAGTGGGATGTATTGAAATGGATCTTTAGAAATTTGATACTATACCATAGATATTGAATATTTTTGTTTTCATAATAAAGAAAAATGTTTTGTAGTAGGCCAGCAAAAAAAAAATCACTAGGAGGAACAATGTTTTAGACTCGAATGAGTCATATTCACTTCCCACGACACAACGTTTAAAATTGGTGTGAATTTCTAGCTCGTTATCTTTTCCCCATACAACGTTTTAGAACCGTATATACTATATACAAATCAATATAATAGTCTGATCTAAGTGTGGAGATATGGTCCTTAGACAAAATCTCGGTCTTCATAGAAGTCTCTTTTCCAAAAACCGAGGAGTTAGAGTGATTTGTGTCTCTATAAGCTTTAAATCCCCATGGGATAATGCAAACACATCATGAGCTGCACATTCTCCGGCGTCTTTGCTTTTACTACATATATATATATATATATATATATATATATCTACCTATAAATCTAAGAATATAAATATATGCACCTAGAAGTATTGTATCACATTTGCTTACGTTAGACTTCGAAGAAATCGACTACATATAATAAATATCCACAAGAAGTATGTTAGGAATGTAGTTCGAATATGATGATAGTTGTCCCACTTTTAAATCATTGGTTGAGTTTCAAAACTGAATATTTCAATAAGAAAATATTGTTTACAAATTTGGCAATCTATATTTATGTAAATTTCTTTAAAATAATTTAGGGACTATAGGCTAATATTTCATTTAGTTATATATTTATGATAAACTCTTCAAAAACTATGTTTTATGTATATTAATGATAAGAAAATATTAAACTTCAGCATAGATTTGCAATGTAATCGTGGTTTGTTTTACCCAAATTTAATAAAATACTATAAGAAATTTTTATGTATGTGTAAAATCCATATATTTCAGAATTAATCCGAAATCATACAACGGAAACTAGCTAGAGATATTTGCCCACTCCCAATAGTACGATACGAAGGTGATCACTTGGAAAGCAGATACAAGACATCGCGATGAGTATGGGTCCCATGTGGTGACAACTCAAAGGACCATCAAGACATAAAAACAGATTCTACAATACACACAAGATGAGAGTGCGTGGGAATCCGACGAAGAACATCATCTCTCATCCATCATCGTACGGTCGTTGTTCATGTTGAACCAAATAGTAGGATCGGTTTCACATTCTTGATAACGACTGCAACTCATCATCACACATATATTTGACCGCTAAAAGAATTTGACCAACCCATTATTGTGGAGTAACTTAGCGAAAACATAAAACACAAGTTGAATATATAATCAAATAATTTCTCCAAAAAAAGAGATATACTTAAAGAACAAAGATTTAATGTAGACCTTTTTTCTTGGAGGAAGACACAGTTTATGTAGACTTTCCACAAGTTTTCAATGTATCATCTTCTGTTACACTATACATTAAAAAAATTACCAGTATGGAAATGAAAAAAAAACGTATAATCACGGTTTATACAAATCATTTCAATGAGGTCCAGTGATTTATGTATACATAATATATAAATCATAAACGACGGCTTTATGGCCTCCAAGTCACGTTCCGAATTGTTTCACATTATTCTTACATACCATTGTTTATCAATATCAACATTTAAATCTCGGATTATTTTATTTAATAAATAATATATCATCGAGGCCACGACAATTGTGTGTCTCTCTCTTCCCACATTTCCATGTATATATACGTATGCTTGGCTTTCCCTTTTATTTCACTTAATTTTAACTTCTACTCATATCCATCATTCTCTCTAATATTCTCAAGAAACCAATCATCTTCAAGGAGCTTCTCAGATTCAGCTCTTATGGATCATCTGTTCCAGCACCAGGTAAAACTCCAATACAAAGATCCACAATTTTCAACATTTTGATTTTTTTTTTTTTTGCTTATTTAAATTAGAATCTTGACGGGTTTCGTTTATTTAGTTAAATTAGAATATTGATGAATTTTCTTTTATCTAAAGGATGTTTTCGGCAATTACAACAAAGCACGAGATGCCATGGGAGTAGCAAGTTCACCAAACCCAACAGAAGTAGATCACAATCAGAAAAAACCCTCTCCGGCCACTGGAGCGGCGAAGCCACAGCCACCGGAGCTATCCCTGAGATGTCCACGTTGCGACTCAACAAACACAAAGTTTTGCTACTACAACAACTACAGCCTCTCTCAGCCTCGCTACTTCTGCAAATCATGCCGGAGATATTGGACCAAAGGAGGAACACTAAGGAACATTCCCGTGGGAGGCGGCTGCAGAAAAAACAAACGGTCCACATCTTCTGCGACAAGAAGCCTCAGAACCACTCCGGAACCAGCGTTCTCGGGGGCTAGTTTTGGTGGGTTTGGTAATAATGAACACACTGATCTCAGCTTAGCATTTGCCCTGCTGAACAAGCAACCTCAGGGGAGTTCTTCACAGCTAGGGTTTCCTTCAGCATTCGGTAATAACTCTAACTCTCATCAATCTGACATGGAGAGTGTGTTTGGAACAAGCCAGCAAAAGGAGAACGCTGGTTATGCGTTTGGAAACGGGAGCAGCGGTTTAGATATGGCCATGAGTACTGATCCAAACAAGGTCTTATGGGGGTTTCCATGGCAGATGAATGGAGAGAGCTTTGGGATGATGAACATGGGAGGAGGTGGTGGTCACGTTGACCAAATTGATTCAGGGAGAGAGATTTGGACTAATATGAGCTATATT